GAAAAAATATTACATCAGTACTACGCACGTAGAAGTAACGTGCGTAGCCAATGAAATCACGCCACGAGACCCCGCGCGATAGAGAAAAAAAACGGCGCAGTAACACGGGGAATATTCCCTCCAGCGTTATTGATGTGTTATTCATGTGTTATTGCGTGTTATTGATGTGTTATTGTGTTATTATAACACCAAGAATATTCTCAGGACAAAATAACACATGAATAACACACAATAACACCTAAATAACACGGGAAATATTCCCGACAGAGAAAAAACAGCGCAGTAACACGGGAGAATATTCTCCCCCCGTGTTATTCATGTGTTATTCATGTGTTATTGATGTGTTATAGTGTTATTATAACACAAGGAATATTCACATGACACAATAACACATGAATAACGCATCAATAACGCGGGAGGGAATATTCTCCGTGTTACTACGCCATATTTTTTTCTCTATCGTGCGGGTGTCGTGGCGTGATTTCATTGGCTACGCATGTTACTCTGCGTGCATAGTACTAATATAATATTTTTCCCCCTCTCTCCCTCCTCTTTCACCCCCTACCATGAATTTTCTAGTATGCAACAATTGTTCTGCTAATGCCACTCAAATGCATAGGCCGAGTTAATCAAATCTTGTCCTTATATTAAATCGAAATATTGCATTCCTAATTTTAAAATAGGCAATCATATTGTTTAGGTGAAAATGAGATGTTTAATAAGTGACACTTTTTATTTGGTATTATCGAGTTTAGAAAAAAAATAGTTATTCTACGTTATGTGTCTTAACAAACAAGTGAAAGTTTTGGTGTCTACAATGGCTCTCTAAAATTACATTCATTAACCTTTTTCTTGTATTGTATTGATTTCGGTGATGTAAATAAAAATCAATCACGTGTCACTCGTGAACCAAATAAATATTGCTTACGACAACCAATATCGCAAGCTCGTTGTGATTTGGGTGAGTCAAGTATACATGATGAGGAAAGTGTTGGGGAGATGATTTAGGTGCAAAAGAAGATAATAATTAGTTAATGAGTGAAATAATTTTGTATATTAGTTTTTATTTAGTTGTGTTTAATGTGTTATGTAAACTTTTGATATTATTGTACTGAGTATTTTAACTAATTTTTTGTTTAAATACTTTAATTATTTTTTATTTATTTCTTTTGTAACTGTACATAAGGTTTTTTTATTTTTATTATTGTTCATAAGTAGCTACAACATAATAAATTTACGACTGCATTTTCCAAACAAAAACATGATTTTCTTACATCACCTTTATGACAGCGACTTTTCCAGACAAATGCAACATCCTCAAATGCATAATTTAATATGTTATTTAATTAAGTTAGGATTGTATTCGAGCAATTTATACATATGTGGATGCATGTGTGGATAACAACAAAAATGTTGTATACATTGGGCATTGTGGTTTAGGGTTTAGATTTTATTGTGGTTCATTGACAAAAAAATGTTTTGAATGCTTTTGCTTTCAAAATGTATTTTACTTTTCTAACAACTGAATGAAAATGCAAATGATAGACACATGTTCAAAGTTGCTATGCGAAACCACCAATACAATTTTTTTATGGCAGCTCCAAGTTCACTTGTGTATAAATAAATTCAATATTTTGTTTTTTTATAATGCTAATGGTTATACATTAAATGTGAAAATATTATATGGTCGATAATGTATATCCATATAAATAAGGTTTTCTCAAACCATTTGCTAATACAAGACATCACATTTCTTATTTTGAAAGAGGTGCTCATATAGTTTGAGTAAAATAATATGTTTAACGAGTAACACTCATCTTTATGTGATGTTATTGAGATGATATTTGGGGTTTGAAAAAAAAGATGGTTGTTCTATTAAGTATGTCTACATATTTTTTTCAGGAAGTAAATGAATATTGTGGGTACTGCAAAGATTTTCGAAAATTACAATTGTCGACATCTTTCACGTGCTAATGTTGATTTCAATAATGCTGATGAAAATAAATCACATGTCCCTTATAAAACATATGAATCTCCCTTAGGAAATACAATATCACAAACTATTGTGATTTATGTGAGTCTTGTACACATGATGGGGAAGGTGTTGGGGATGACTGAGTTGAGAGAGTATATTGCAAATGTAATAGTTAATATGTGAAATGATGTTGCATGTTTTTTTTAATTGGTTATGTTTAATGTATTGCGTAAACTTAATATTTATTGTAATGAGTATTTTAACTAGATTTTTTTGTTTAACTTCCTTAGCTGTTTTCTATACATTTTTTTCATACAACTGCACAAAAAAACCAATCATCTCTTTTGTTCATAAAGAACTACAAACACAATATATTACTAACTGTTTTTTACTAAAAAAATCACAACTTTTTGACATCAACCTCCTAAGAGTTATTTTTTCAAATTATAATTTCAGTTACTTCACAACCATTTTTTTAGACAACTGTAGCTGCACACACATTTTAAGACTAACAAAACAATTGAATAAGCTTACAAAAAAGTTGAGTCATCGAATGTGTAAAATATCTCATTAATGAAGTCACAAGTTCAAATAATAATGATCAATAATAATTAAGAATTAATATGTGAGCCCTAAAATAATTTGAATTGGTGTATAAACATTTTATTGAAGTCACCCAATCAAACAAAACTATTTTTCAACTATAATTAAACTTATCAATTATTTTTTACCTATTGTACTTTATTTATATATGTTCCTATTGTATATTAGCTAAAGCTCATAAATAGAGAGTTTTATATGAACTTGATCATTCAATTATCATAGAATCTTCTAAATTCTTACAACATCATAAAATTACAGTCTTAATGCTAAATTCTCCACTTCTCTCTTCATTTTACTCTCATATTCCATATATATCAGCGATAATAAAGTAAAGGTGCCAATCACACATAATTTATGGTCCAACAGATAAAGGCAACTTAAAAATCTATTACATCTCAACTCGATTTATCTTTGACCCAATTAATCTCAATGTTGAAGCCAAATTTGTCCTGTGGATTATGCCCAATGAATAGAGCGTCGGAACTAATGAAAAAAGAATGAATGAGAGAAAAATTTGTCTCGTAGAGGCGAAGAATGGTGTTCCTGGACTCTTTGGCCCTTTTATTTCACTAAACACAGTGATTATAAGAGAGGGGAAGGGTCGAAAGTTCTTTCTACATGAAGAGTTAAAAGAGAAGAGCCCAAAGGTTCTTAATATATGCTAATGCTTCTCTATAAAAAGATAAAAATAGAGAATATAATATTACATAATTACCATTGCTTTAAAGAAGACACCACATGCTATTTTAGTCTTTTTATTTGGACAGTTGAATTATCTCGAGATCTATGTAGACGTTTTTTGAGTGTACACTAAAATATTAGGAATAATTAGACGCATAACACTCAAAATTATATTATTTATAAAACTTAATCTCAATTTATTTTTTTTAACTATGAAACAACTCATTTACACATGTTAAGATGGAATCATTAAGAATTTGATAAAAATAAGAAACACGGGTTGGGGTTTTATTATGAATTTTAATATTTGAGTAAGAATTTGAAAAATTGACCCATAAAGATGCTAGTTTTATAAATAGTAAAAGTTTGAATGCTTTGTTTGTAATTGCCCGATCTTAGATATTATGAAACGCTTCATAAATAAAGTAGGTATGAAAAATATATTTTTCTAGTTTAGATACATCTCATATCCTCTTTATTGTCTGCTACTCATCCTCTCTTCCTCTGCTGCTGCCCATTCGCATCGTGGACGCCTCTTCGACCATACCGCCTGACCGGCCCACCCCCCCCCAGTTTTCTCTCCGCCGAGATGAACCCTAGAAATTTCAGTCTTCTCCGACGACAGTGAAGTAAGCATCGAAACCCTAGGTGGAGATGATCTATTCCAGGCTCGGCCGTTCTATCTCGCGGTCCTGCGTGCGTTCCAGATTAGGAAGGGTAATCTATGTTAGTAGTTTATTGTGCTTCCTTTCCTTAAATTATTCAGTTTATCTTTTCTATAGCTTCACGGCTCGCCTTGCTTCGATCTTCTTCAGGGCGGCGATCTTCTACGACTGTGTGACAGTAAATTTGTGTCTTCTACGACTGAAACGACTCTTCCACCGCTTTATGGTTTGAGGGGTTATCTAACTTCACTTGGAGGGAGAGGGGGGAAGGCTCTTCAGGAAAGGACCCTCCATGGTGACTGGAGATTTCTGTTAGGGCATCCTAGTTTTAGAAGATTGTTTTCCAGTAAGCCTGGGGATAGAAAGAGTAAGAAACGGATTACCTCGAGAACTTGAGGTGTTCACATAATAGATTTTTTTTTTCCTTGATTTGTCTTGATTTTGAAAATAATTCATTTTTTAGATTACGAGAATTACTACCCAAAGGAGCAGAAGGATATTCCGAAAGGCAGTGAGAATGAAAAATCGGATTCCAAAGGTATGCATCTGTTTTTGCACAAAAATGTTATTTTTCCAGCAGGATATGTGGAGACCCTAACAGTCGCATCAAAAGAATGATTTTTTTTTTATATATATAGTTTAGGTGTAGATCTATCTTTGGTTACCTTGCACCGAGCCTTTATTTTGTTTATGCCCAATCTTACTGATACATATTAACAGGAAGAAAATATCTGAGGGATCTAAATCTGGGTTTATAATTTAACCATGTCACCATCTAAATTGGATTGGAATTGAATACCACAAGCTGTCCGAGTAGGAATTTATTTTTATTTTTGATATAATAGAATTGTTAGCTTCATCTTCTTTTTATCCATTTTCTTGGCACAGAAGTTAATTCTTTCAGAGCGGAAAAACTACCTATTTTTATGGCATGAAACATATTTAGGGTGGGGGAAACCATTTATTTATCATCTCTTTTTTATTTGTTTTGTATCGTAAAGGCAGCTTTGAACTGAAGAGGCATGGTTACTTTGAAACCCAACTAAGACTTTGGTTTCTGTTTCCCATCATAATCATTCAAAAGTGTTTTTAGATTGTCTCAAGTTACAAAACTTAGAATCTTAAACACAAAACTTGGAATCTTAAACACCTCATGCTTTAGTTAATTCCATAGAAGGTTTGCAATCTTAACATATTTTGTATTTTGGTATGTCCTAGAAACAGGACTACAACTATAAAAGCAAAATCTATGAGGCCATCAAGTAATCTAAGCTCCTCTTGTCATATTGGTTCGGTTACTATGGTCTTTCCTACTGTCTATCTTTATATGTAATTTATAGGTCTAGGCAACCTTTTCATCCATTATTTAACATTTTGACCCCTATATTTACTCTCTCATCCCGTCCTGATAAGTGGTTGTTTCATGCACACGACATTCTCATCCTTTATTATGGGCAGAAACTGAGGAAAATATCCTTCCTACTTGCACTTTTGGCAATAGATCTTTTCATTAATCATTTTGAACATTATACAATATATGATAGTTTCTTCAAATTATGTTGACTTTTTTCATGATTCAACTTTCATGAATTTGGGTGGTTTATAGTTAATGCTTTTTAATGCAACTAAAATGACGAAGTTAAGATCACAAAAGTAAACTTAAAATTTACAAATTAGGAACCACTAAGCATGCAAAAACTTGTCCTGTTTGGATGCAAATACTGGAATCAAAGAATCAAACCCAAAGATAATGCAATGATCAATTAAATCAAGGAAATTAAATTGAAATTTTAACCCTATGATATGTTGAAGTAATTGTAATATATTCATCACAATTAGAATCTCAATTCTATTTAATTTGAACAAAAACATTAGTAGCTAAATAACATAGTATTTAGAAGAAATTTGGTCAAAGTAAGAGCTCATTAAAGTCAAATTCAAGTTTCATGCCAGAATAAGGAGATGACCTCTACGAATCAAGTAGTCACACTTTAATCTTGAAGGAAGCAAACCCCTAGCCTGCACACACAAAAATGAAGATTAGAATACAAAATTTTATTGAATGAAAGTTATTTTTGTTACAAGCTTTGTACCATCAATTTATAGACTTTTCATCCAAAAGTTATTATATAGGGTTGACACAATATCAAACTTGCTAAATTTCATTGAATCATTAAATTTAAACTTTTATTTTATTCATAGTTCATCTATTTTGCAAATTCTTGTATCTCACGTGAAATTCATAACATATACGAAGTGAGCAAATCATAGACAGCGATAGCAATAATATCGATCAAGAGAGGGGAGCTAAAGACTTAACATAGCATCTCTACTATAAGGATCATATGGCATAACAATACACACAAATCTCAACAAATGGAGTAGGAAACTTAGCGGCCCATAGACATAAGCAGCATGAAGTAGCTCGTCAGCTAGGCCACAGAAATGACATTGTTGCCTACATCCTTCAATCAAATGAATCAACATTCCTCAAATAAATCAATGTATAGCTTGGAGTTATCAATGAACCAAATAGTTTGATCTTATACCAAATGATATAAATCCAATGTAAATACATCCTTTTCTCGAATCCATCATGGTTGACATGTTCCAATCTAATTAAACTTACAAAATAAAATTAACTAAACTGCTTAGCTAGGACAAATTCGACTATAACAAATTTAGGATTTTAATTTTATCAAGCAAATCAAGACATAAGTTTTGCAATTTCCATAAAGTAATCTACGAGCCTCACTAGTAGGTTTGTCAAAATAGTGAATAATACATACATGGAATACACCATTAGCTTATGATAACATCTCATCGTCTACAATAGTTTCATGAAAAATTTTTATGCAGTTATCCGATAAAGGATTGGATGCAAATTATGATGTGATTAAAATAACCTAAGACATTACCAAGATTAATGAATTTAGTTTAATTCCAACACATTGAAAAATTGATTAATTCCAAAAATATCTAGAACTTTTTTAGGCACTAGCTTTAATGCACTGCAAACTTTTAAATGACTTTGGCCTTTTGGCATTTAACTTTTTATAGGTTCCTAACTGTAGCTTTTTTAATTTTAAAAACACCACAAACTTATGAACATATTTAATTTTCTTGTATTTCTCGTCGATTTCCATCAAAAGCTTATAATTTTTATTGTAGCAAATCATTTTCTGAATAACCTCCTTAAGTTCATGCCTATGTTTTTGTAATTATTGTGCAAATGAATTATGCGTAAACTCATTAGGAAAGCTTAACATGATTGATAGGCTCTCTAGTTTGAAATATTGTGACTAATTTAATTAGACTTATGCTAGCATACCTGTTGATGAATGAATCGCATGCAGCAAAATACTAAATCCCATCCAAACATATGGTATTTAATTAGACAAAGCAACATATCTCCCAAACTTATGTAAACTACATGTGTCCCTTAGTTTATGAATAATAAGTTGTTGGAAATTTAAGCTGTGTTTTCATTTTAGTTTAAAGAGTTTTTTTTAGAAATAACTCATGAATTTTAAATCATCATAAAAATACTAAACTATTTCATTATTATAATTTAGTAACGTGAGATACATATGTTTGTGAGTTATATAGTTTGTAATATTGTGACAATTTTAGTTAGACTCTTGCTAGTATACATTTTGATGAATGAATTGTATGCAAACTCAGACATAGGCAAAATACTAAATCCCTTCCAAATTTATGGTATTTAATCGAACAAAGCAACATATCTCCCAAACTTATATAAATTACATTTGTCCAATTGTTTATGAATGATAAGCAGTTGGGAATTTAAGTTGTGCTTTCATTTTCTTTTAAAGAGTTCTCTAGAAATAACTCATGAATTTTAAATCCTGATTAGAGTACTTTACTATTTCATTAATATAATTTAGCTATGTGAGATATATATGCATTTTATGACGTGGTATAAGATGAGATATTTTTGAAAAACAATCTACCACCATTTAATAGAATTATGATATCTATAGGTTATTGTAAACCTAACATAAAATTCAATTCAGATACCCCCCTATGATTTATTTGAAGTTGGCGAAGGTGCATACATCTCTGTGTTGTGTTTCCTGTTCTTGGCAAACTAATCAGTCCTGCACTATGAAACCAGATTCACTGCATCTTTTTTTAACTTGGCTTGAGCTATATATATATATTCAATCATGGCTACGGTCTTGTCTCTATCAAAATGTCCAACTTCTCTTGTACTTCTGAATTCAAAATGTTTCTTCTCAAAGATGAATCAACAATGTAAAGTTGAGTACCCATAAATAAATAATCATTTTTAAGTAAGTAAATTTGTTAAATATGGATGAGTTATGATTGAAGTGTTGTTAAATCTTATCAAAGTTCTTATAATTACCATGTTCTCTATTTATGTTATCAAAACTTGTCAGCTTAACTTACATTTTATATAAAAGTAGTTAACTCTACTTCACGCATTAATATACTTATTTTTAGTCTAACTACTCTGTATAAGGACAATTTTTTTTTTATAAAACAATTAAGTCAATATTTCAACTTCTTTTGAGGACTTAAATATTTCAAATTTTGATTATTTGCGTGAAGCACAAATTTTTTATTGAACAATTAATGTCTACCATGATGAGAAGCTTGTATGACAGCATAGCACTCCTTATCATGGTTTGAATGTTTCTACTTCGTTCCATTCAAATTTTTTCAACATATCACAACTTTTCTTTTGACATTAGTCTTCAAAGCATATGTATTTGTCCTTCTCTAATTTGTACATTTAAATCATAATGCTAAGGTTGATTCAAAATTATATGAGCTACAACATCAATGACCAACAAATTACTTGAAATTATATTGGTAATGTAGCTAATTTATTGAATTAAACAGCTTTATGACACAATAAATAGTTGTTTTATCTACCTAAGTTATCTTTTGTGATTGTTGTGGGCTCCAAAAATTCAAAAAGGCACCCTGGACTCTCGTGAGAGCTTAACATGGCGTGTTAAGTTTCCAAGTTGAATTTTCAGAAGACATATGGGATAGTAGATAAGACACTACTCAGAAATTTTGTCCTCATTTTGCGAGGACTTTAAGTTATGGGCTTCGAGATTTTCCATAAGCGCAAACCCCCGTGGTTAATTACCTCTTATGATAGCGAGAGAGCACTTCGATTAATGCTAGTCATTATACTTCAAGTATTTGTTCTTAACATATAACAACATTAAATTTAAATTTTAAAATTATAAAAATTATCATCATCGCGAGCTTAAAGTAAGTGGTGGGGGAAACAATGACGAACCTGATCAAGATCCCATTGTTCCATCATCCCGGATTGTCAGGGACCCTGGTCTACTTAGTCAGCGGAGGTAGTCAACCTAACCTGACAAAAGAATAATTGTTAGCAACCATGGGTTGCTTCGTCCAAGGGGACCTTGTAGACCTAGGGTGAATGTCTGTCTAAGGAGACTAATCCAAATCGATCTTAGCTTATAGCGGGCTTTCTACCCCATCAAATATACCCTATGATTTAATACT